AATAAACAAGTCTATCTTAAATTAAATTGAATGTTATTTTGTTAATCGCTTGATTGATTTCTTTGCTGATCGACAACGTATTGGCATTTCACCTAAATATAAAACAGTAAACAATGTAAATAAATATTTTCCATCAAAATCTTACCATTGATCAAATCGTCGATATTTTTTTCACTTATATTGCAAAATAGCTTTTCATGTTCATCACAATAATCTGTTTGTATAAAAAAAAATGAAATACAATGACCGAAAATATTTCAATACTTACTTCCATTATCCATCATTTTCATGATGGAGAGCCGTGCTTTTCGACAATGTTCATAAAGTCTAACTTTACTAAAAAGAGAGCAACATGTATATAAAAGTAATGAAATTCGTTAACTTACATTTTTAAAACTGAAAATACACCAGAATTATTTATTTCCTCAAACATTTTTATGTCATCGACTACATCTGAAATGAAAGAAAAAATGCTTAATTAGAACAGCATAATTAAACTTACTTAGCCATTTTTTATTTTCATAGTTGATAATAATACGTTGATGAAGACATTTTGCTTTTTTCTTATCAGATGTTGAGGGATTATTAATAAGATCTGATAATAACTAACGAAAAAAAAAGAAACTTATTGTGATAATAGAATCAAGAATAATTCTTACTTGAAGCCTATCATCATCTTCAATTTCTTCAAATTGTTCACTTGATGACATTTTGTTCATAAAAACGATGAAACAATATACTTTTTAATCGAGATAAATGTATGAATGAAAAATTGTAAAAATTTTATTGTTCGTGTTTATTAATTTTTTTTCCTTATATATATATCTATCTCCATCGAACAATAACATTCACATCGGACTATATAAGCGGATGAAAAAAAAGAAATAATAGTCTTAATGGCTGATCGATGAGCACGTATCAGCTGTTCGAATTTTTCTTATAAAATATATGATGAATCAACATATACAAGAGACTACATTTAAAGTGAATTAGGTTATATACATTTTAATCCAAACGTTCTCCAATTTCAAAATCTTATGTACGTTTTTATTTAACATTTCAACCTCAATTAAAGTTAAATTTGAATCTGGTCGACGAAAAACTGTTTGTGTTTTTTCAAGCAATGAACGTACTTATAAAATAGTTTGTTCAATTAATTTTAATGGTTCCAAATCAATATGAAAATGTCGAGCTTGTTCATATAATTGTTCATATGAAGATAAAAATGGATAATGTTCACCTTGTTGCATTTGTTCAAATTTTTCATTCCATAGATGACATTCATTAATTAAAGTTTTTATTTTATCAATTGAATTTAAATGAATATTTGTTTCATCAGCACTTTTAACAAATTGTTCTAAAGTATTTAATGTTGGATGTGGTCTAAAGAATAAGAAAGAATATTTTTGATAAAAGACTATCGAGATTTATCTATTGCTTTTATGCATGAGAGAAAACTACAGTATGAATTTTGTTTTTGATATAACGTTGCAATGGAATATCGTAGAAATGTTAGGCAAAAAAAAAAAAAAAAAAAAAAGAATTTGATCGAAAGTTTTTTTTTGAAGATCATAAAAATTTTAGAACAATAGGTAGTAGGAAAGTCTTGCGTAACAACTTCAATCACAATATATTTGTTTGACTTTTTTGATTATCGATTTTCGATGTTCTCCAGCGTCATATAGACAACTTTTTGATTACAACGACGGCTTTCATATGATATTAAAATAATTGCTCAGGATATACAAGAGATTGAACAGGAAATAGTTTAATTGAAAAACCGATTTTGTATTTATGATGTGAAAACAAAGTTTTCTAACAATTTCTCTTTCGAAGTAGAATTAAATTTTTTTTGTCTATGATCAGTAGCTAAGGGAAAATCAGTGGTATCAGAAGATGTTATAATAATATTCATATCTGCTATAGCAAACTTTTTTATATTGTATGAAGTTTTTCTAAATTAAGAAAGTTGTGAAAGAGTTATTCAATATCTTTTGTTCTAAGGCAGTGATGACCTTCAAAAAACATTTCCGATCAAAGTCTTTGTACTAGACAAATGCAGAACTTTTGCTCCTTCCGTGATAATAAAAGATAACAAGATTTAGGAAAAAATAAGTCATAAAAGCTGCTCTTTACGTGTATTATTGTGTTTTATGAATTAGATAGATTGATGTTTAGAGTTTGTAATAAAGATAATATTTTGTTAAATGAATAGTTTGATTTATACAGAACTTTGTTTTATTCTCTTTCTTCCATCCTTAAGAGAATTAAAATGCAATTTTCAAAAGTTAAAATTTTCTGAGTTTATTAATAATTAATCAATCGTCATCAAAATAATTATATCATTTAAAAATTTTTCCTCAATAATTTTTTCTTTTTTCTTTTTAACTTCAATTCTATTCAATTGTAAGACCTATCATATAATCTAATAGTTCTACTGGAATAACTTGCTCTTCTTTGGTTAATGGTCGAGTTTTTTCCTCCCAATATTCTAATTGTTGTAATTGTATTTGTAATTCATTAATTTTTTGCTGAATTTGTTGATGTAATGCTTGAAATGTTTGTCCAGATGATATTAATGATCGAAGTTTACTTGATGATATTGTTCGATTTAATGTTTTTTGTACAAGTTCATACCAAATACTAGCTTGATAGAATAATTTTAAACGTTCAATAATTGGTAATTCAATATGATATTGATTATTACGTTCAATATAATTTGAATAAACATCCGTTGATTGAAGTTTATCCGATTGAAGTAATATTTTTATTTCATCTTGATAATGAAGACAATCAGTTAAAATATTCTAAAAGAAGAAATCTTCAATTAATAATAATCATTGGACAAAAAAAAGAACAATCATATATATTACTTGAATAGTTTTCATTTCATTAAATGTAATACCAATTGATTTTACTCGATTTTTTAATTGATTTATATCATTTAATGTAACTTTATTTTCATGATTAAAATTTTTTTCTTTTTATTTAAATCATCATCATTATTATTATTTTCTATTAATTCATCTCTAGAATAAAATAAATTATTTCATCTATTAAATAATGTTATGATTTTATTCTTACTTGTATGTTATACGTTTTAAAATATTTTTTGCCATTTGTCGATATTCAATAGCTTCAGCTAATTTTTCTTCCATTTTTATACGAATATCATCACGTAAACATAATACACCAGATGTCGTATGTTTTTCAATATCATTAAAATCTATCATACAAAAACTTGAAATCGTATTCTATGAATAATCAAAACTAAGCAAGGGTATAACTTATGTAGAGCGCGACGCTCTTTTTTCTAGCACTCAATCATTCTTCGCCCTCTATAGTGTGCATTCAGGAGGACATTAGGTAAAAAAATGAAAGTTACTCTTTCATCGATTCAACTAGCTGTACATACATATATTTTGAGACATACTCCATCTAATAACGTAAAAATTTTTGTTACAAATTGTTCAGCAGAGTGGAACAACTAGATTTCAAAAATTAGCTTGGAAATACTGATATCGATGAGAAAATTAAACGACCTGGTAGATGCATCAAGTAGATATTCTGAAACTGTATATTGTCTAGTATCGATTATTGAAGAAGTCTTTTAATTTGAATGTATAGTTTTTTTCTGAAATTAGTTTTCGGAATGACTAAGCTCAGGAAATAGCGAAATCTAAGGGAATCCTGAATTTCGGATTCTATAGAATTTCAAAATTCCGCTATTTACTCGTTCAAAAATGCACATTGTCCTCCATCTATCTCTGAAAACTAAAGGTAAAATTGTTTTCGATTTTAATTTACAAAAAAGACTATCATTCTTTATATCGAAAAAAAAAAACGAAACATCATTGATTTATCATTTCCTACCGATAAGATTTTGATGATCATTTGAAATAAGTCGATTAACAAGTATTTTCCATTTCTGACAAAGATCAAGACGTTCACGTAATGCATCAAGCACAAGTAAGGTTCATCGACGTTAAAAGTCGATTCACTGGGCCCTAGACTGAGCAAATGAGGCAACTGCTAGTACATTGCAGTACCAAACATTATCATTCAAATTCTCACTATGGAGAAGAATGTTCCACTTGATTCGAGT